GAAATCCTACTGTTATATGTTTAGATAATCTTTACGCATTGGACATTGCAGAAATTATTTTGTGACATTCATGTTTTTGTTCATTTACAGTACAAAATCCACGGATGTGAGGTTAGGCGGCGGCGCCCACAAAATCGCGTCCGAAAGTGGAAAAGGGGCGCCGTCGTGAATGTGTTAACATAACAACCTTTTCAACAGTTCTGGTAAGGAATATTGGTGCATCATAAGGCAGTCTGAGAAAGAAAAATGGTTTTTAGCACAATGAAAGAAAAATGGTATTTAGCACAATATTCCAAGCAGAATGGGTTTCAAAAGCATCAATAACTATAACTCATGCAAATAAGTCTGAGAGAAGCTCAACGTTGGATCTGTACTTCTCCAATTTGAAACTATGAGGACGAAGAAATACTAATACGTGATATAGACAGACGCGCACAACAATCAAACAATTAAAACACGAACAAATAGAAAGAGCTGCCAAAACTTACCTTTTCCATATAACCGGCTGTTGAGAGAAGCGAGCCGTGATCGCATTCTGATAAGCAATGAAACCGTTATCGCTGCCCTTACCTAGAAATCATGTAAATAAAATAAAAAAGACTAGCACGATCGAATGATGAAGCTGCTTTATCACTAAAAGTTTCAGTAACAGACGGTGATCAACTTACATGTCACCGTGACGTGATGAGGCTTATGTGCTCGTAGTAAACTGGCCAGATCATACCTCCACTTCTGGTCCATACACCTTAGATCTGAAACTTACTTTTGAAACGTTTTCCAAAATGCGTCGAACGCATTCTGACACATAATTGGATTGTTTACCAGAAAATAAACAATGTCGATGATAATGCCCAAATGCACTGAATCAACGCAAAACCTTGAAAGTAAAAGCAAAACCTTAACTAGAACGAAGAAAAGTGATTGGGAAATAAATGGTACATCCTCTTGAAATGCATGCGACCACTAATACACGTAAAAGATAGATAAGCTAAGCAAAGCAAGAAATGTTCAAAAACCAGCCATTCCCGATTAGGAATCGAAAAGTCTAAAAAAAGGAACTGACAACGACTTCAATGAGGCTGAACTTAAAAGTACCCCTCACTCACGAAATCAAGCCAAACTGATTAACAGGCACAATTTTCTATACCTTCAAACAATGCAAATCTGGTTGCAGAAAAAGTGATAGCTGTTTATCAGTGCGTTCGACCACTATAACAATTTTTTTGATAATTTCATGAAAACCAAAAAGCTAGAAGAGGGCAGAGCTCGATGAGAATGGATTTAGTGAAATTTCGCCCCAAGCTTTCCCAAACTGCAGACATATCAGAAAAGCAGAATCTTCGACCCAAATCTGGGAAGGATTAGGCTGATGGTAATCAGCCCATTCGAACTTGACCCCATCCCCTCCACAACTCAATCATAATTTCTAAGAGACTTAAAAAAAGGTTAAGTTTTCCAAATGGGCATCATTGTATAAAAGTCTAAAAGCTGAGCTTTCAGGGAAGGAAGGCATGCCGAAATTTGATTAAGCTATGCAACAAATGTTTAAATGGAACTCATTCAGTTCAAAGAGAACGTCAGCAAACGATATTCACGAGGATTGCGAAACATTTAGTGAAACGGCGACGCATAGCTACAGCGCATACTATATTGAAATGGAAGAACAAACTTTGGTGGAGAAGAATAGGCAGCTGAAATTCCAGCAAATAAAGGGAAAAACCGTTGTGATCGTATGAATCCAACAAGTCAATCAATTTTTGGAACTACGCCACCCACACAGCTTTCTTTGGGGGTCATAAAGGCTCGAACGTGTACTGGCCTAGACAATGCTTGCGAAGGCCAGCCGACGCCTAGTCCAGACAGTTTTTGTCTTCCGGACAATTCTGGCAGTCTGGCTCCAATAAATCGACTTCAGGGGGATACAAGCGTGGGTTGGCCTATACGGGATTACATCGGAGATTTAATTGGACCAGTCACAGACATATTTTTGCCGTTAATAATAGAAGGGCTAATATGAGGTTGAGCAACTACAGCCACCCTACGCCCACTAATGTAAAGGTACTTTCAATTCCCACATGTAAAACATATCATTCACCAAATAACAGTCGGAAACATTTCCCGCTTTAACACTTAGGCCGCGTTCATAGTTCGCGACTCCGGAGATTAGGATAGTACGCGACAATGAAAAACATATGTATTGATAGGAGATTAGGATAGTAGTAGAGTAGGAGATTGCGCTGACAAGATTAGATACGTATCGATTGAAATCGCCGGAGAGTAGTAGATTGCGATATTACGATAGTAGGATAGTAGTAGAGTAGGAGATTAGGATAGTAGTAGATTAGGATAGTGCGCTGACAAGATTAGATATGTATTGATCTATTCGCTTGAAGTCGCCCAATCTACTACTCTCCAGCGATTTCAATCGATACGTATCCAATCTTGTCAGCGCAATCTCCTACTCTACTACTATCCTAATATCCTATCGCCTACTATCCTAATCTCCCGAGTCGCGAACTATGAACGCGGCTTACGAACTTGTCTGACCTTCCACAAGTTCCTCTACACACGCGTGTGATAAGATGAAGAGGATCAGAAAAAAGCTACTGCTGACAAAACTAGCCAACGATTTAGCGCAGGCATATGCGGTATCAAAGTAATGTGATACTTTGACACTTTGTGATAAGCGTCCAGTGGCTAAGACACACACAGAGCACTTCCGCCCCTTCAACGGGATTAACCTGGAGGTGATGGGAATGATGGCAAAAATACGAACTGCTAGCAAGATTAGGAATCAAGCCATCGTGACAATAGTGCGCCCCCTCTCTACAATATGAGAAAAGCACTCCGTGGATGCGCATCCATTCAACGAGGTATTAATTTCGGATATTTAAAGTGGTCTCATCCTTGCAGTTCGAGGGTCAAATGAATGGTCAAACGATCATGTGATCGCGTTATCTATACGTATCTACTCAACTTGTACTGCAAGCTAGATCCAACCCTAATTCTGCAGTTTTATTCCAGTCGGATCGATCGCCCAATCGCACAAGCGAGTATGGGGTAAATGCGTATCGATCGTGCAACTCATCCGATCTCTGCAATCATTTTCAGGATTTGTGTCAACTGTAAGGCTAGGCAATTCAGAGTTTCATAGCGGTGTCTGGAAGCTTTCAAGCGTGAGACTATTACAATATCTCTTCTTTTTTTATTCTCTTCAGAGGGCCAAGCCCTAATACTTCACAAAGTGTAAGCTTGTCCATCTACGCTCTC